CCCAGGGCCAGGCCACAAGCAGTGTGCATCCTTCTGGGTGAGAGCAGCTGGTTATCAAGCCCACTGAGCAGACGAAGCTGTCCAGAATGGATTTTGGCTTCTCCCAGGAGGATGAAGAGTTGGCAGAAGTAGTGTCTTCATTCATTCAACAAAGACCGGCATGCCTATACCGTGCAGGGACTGTGCTTGGTGCCAGGGCAAGAGGGGCAGAGGTGATCCTGACCTCGGGCCTCAGTTTCTAAATGGATGCAGCCTTCCAATCCAGCAGGAATGGAGGAAGCAAGCAGTTGATTCCTCTAAACCCAGGACAAGAGCAAAGAAAGCAGGAGACTGGGACACGGGACAGAAGAGAAAGTGTAAGTGTAATTGCTAGCCAGGACTCAGGGAAGGTGTGATCTGGTCCTGGTGTGGCTCCTGGGCCTTCGGCAGAGAGCAGGGCCAGGTCAGTCTGCTCACAGAACAACAGGGTGGCTCAAGGAGTCAAAACCCGAGTAGAGTTGGGTGGGAGTGGAAAGGCCCTGGGGAGAAACCATGTCTCCCGGAGAGCTAGGGAAATTGTCTGAGAAAGAGGGATGAGTCAGGGGGGTGGGGTACTCCCAGCAAAGGAGCATGGCGGGGCCCCCTGGGCCTGACATGGCCATGGGAGATGTGTGGTCTCCCCAAGTATTACTTGGAATGACCCTCCAGCACCCCCCACCTCCAGCCTGCTCCACTAGCCACCCAGCAATACCCTCAGGAGACTGGGGTCCCAGGCCCAGCACAGAAAAAGGCAGAGGAGAAGTTTCCCAATCTCTTCCTGCTGACTTGGAATGGTTGAAAAAGAAAATGAGAGAGATGAATGGTTGGTTATTTGAATTTTGATTTCCTGGATCTTGCCCGTCTTAAGACTCCAGAACACAGAGGCTCTTAGCTGGAAGTGGAATGCACCAGCCAGGGACAGAATGGGTTTGCCCCAGGACCAGCTGCATAGCGAGCCCGCTATAAGCTGAATATTGCAGAGGAGGAAGAAAAACTCCCAAGAATCCGTGATTCGTGTTGCTGTGCAGGACAGCGGGGTGATGGAGAAAGAACAGGAGGCCAGGAATTACCTGGTGATTGACCCAGGGAACAGTTAAGAAAGGCAGAAGTCGTACTTGTGGCCCAGAAGCAGGATCTCCCAGAAGGAAGCAGGCTGGGCTCCATCCAAAACGGAGAGACCTGGCTGTAAGTCTGAGGGATGTAGGATGAAGAGGGACTGATGGTACAGCTGAGAGAAGGATAGAAGTTAGCTGTCATCACAGCACGCTGGAGGCCATCTGGCCCCAGGAGAAATTCCATCATTTCTGCCAGAGCTCCGCAAATGGGCAGAGAGCAGAGTCTAGAAGTGAACCTACTTTACTTCTAGAAACCTAGTTCACTGGAAAGCTATTCACAAAAATCAGATTCCTTCACCCCCACCCCCGCCCCACCCAAGTTTGCTGAGTATCGGTCATTGGGTAGGCACTGGGATAGGTGCTGGGGACACAGTGGTGAACTAGACAGATGTCATAGCCCCTGCCCTCCCAAATCTGGCCTTCCAGTGGCAGAAAGCAAGCCGAACCCGGAACCAAAACCGAACAAGTTAACAGACTAAGAACTACCGTAATTGCAAGCTGAAATCAGTGCTCAATAAGTAAGGGGCTCAGGTGGAGAATAACTGAGAGGGACCTAAGGAAGGACGGGTAATCAGAGGAAACCTCCAGGAGGTTGTGAAATCCACCCTGAGACCTAAAGGAAGAGGAGGAGAAGCTAGCTAAGCAAAGGAGAGTGAACACAGCAGGTGCAAAGGTCCTGGGACAGGGAAGGGTTGGAGATGTTCAAAGAGTGGAAAGAACACAGTAGGAGTGGTACAGGAGGAGCTGGGTGAGACGGGCAGAGGATTTCACGGTGTCCCTGGGGGGGTGACATGATTTGTTCCAGATTTTTCAGAAGGCCATTTTTGCTACTATGAGGAAACTAGATCATGAAGCTTCTGACAAATTCTTGACTTATTAACAATTTCGTGTCTCAAAAGAATTACTCCCAGGAATGGCCGCCCTGTGGAGGGACTGTTAGCCAAATAGACATGCTAGAAATCTGGAAGTAGCCAACTATGTGATTTTAGGATTCACAATATCCAAGAAGGATAACACAGATTTAGGCGTATTTTCTGATCATCAGCGTGGGAGACCTCAAAAGGCATGGAGAAGTCTTGTGATTCTAAGATGTGCATCTCAAGAAGGGAGCTCAGGTCAGAGTAGTTCCGACTGTGTCATTACAAACGACTTCCCAAAGAGAGGGAAATGGACATGGTTCCAGGGGGAGGCTGAGATGCTTGAGAGCAAGTACGTAAAAAGAAAAGAAAGTCTCCTACCGCTGGCAAATACAAGATGGGGACCTCTGAGAGTGATCTCAGGAATGCAGAGCATAATCGAAAGGGAAACGGAAAATGATGAGGGCAGGACACAGGGGTGGGGCACAGCACACCAAGGAGCCCTGTTCTGGGGAGCCACAGGAGCCACGCCACGAGCCATGGGGATTCCTCCTGTCCTGTATTTTCTGCATTTTCATGTGGAGGGGACACCATCAGACAGGGAGGAAACCTGCCTGACAGCCAGGACTCAGAGCACAGGAGTCCTGTTTGCTTGGCTGTCCGCAGGACCCCTGCAAGGCTGGCCCAGGTAGTCGCTTGTTAATACTTATGGAATGAAAGATATGCAAACTCTCCGGGGGTTGGGGGGCACAGAGTTTCCTTGAAGAGGACTGTGTCCTGTTCTCTGGCTTCCCATCATTGATTTCAGCTGCCTAATTGGGAGCCTTGGTGGGAACCAACCTCACCTGCCTGAACAGACGTGTGAGGGGCCGAGACATGTCCTTCCTCCCTCGTAATTGGGGTGTGGACCGGGGACCTGGCTGTGGCGGATCAGATGCCCTCGGAGGGCACACGTGGGAGTGGGGATCGTTGAGAGATTTTGCCAGCACCACCGCCCCACACGGTACCCACCGTGCACGGCGAGGGTCTGTTCCTTTGCACCCAGCATCCCAGCCCCCTCCCCGCCTGGCTCCAACTTGTCTTTCTTTCATTAAAACTTTTCATTTCGAAGTAAGCCCAGATCCCACAGCAAGTTAAGGTGATCGTAGACCCTTCCCCAGCTGTCGCCACATGGGTCCTGGGACCCTGACAATGACCTGGCCCATGGCGTGAGGCACACTGGCTGTTTTGAAGTCTGGTTCTGAGCCTTCCTACTGGTTGCTGCTCTACACAATACCCTTCCAAAATCGTCTTTCTGTCTAAACTAGCCAGTCCGTTTTGCCACTTTGAACTAAGAATCTGGATGGGTGTGCTACCTTTGAGAGGTCACTAGGGTGGGAGACATGTCTGCAGACGGCACAACCTTGGAGGAATGCGAAGAAGGCTCCTGTGTCTGACCCCCCCACCCCCACCCCCACCCCCCGGTGCTTGATGGGCCCCAGGGGAGGCTGAGAAGGCCAGAAGCTGAAAAAGAAGTTGATGAGGGGCATGTCTGGACTTTATTCTGGGAGCAGTGGGAGCTGTCAAGGGGTTTCCAAGTTGGGGATGACAAGAACAAGGAGGCCTCCGGTTGCTGAGTGGGGGAGGGGTGGTTGGGAGCCATGCAGCGGGAGAAGCAAGGGGGCCAGAGCAGTGGGGGGAGGAGACAGTGCAGGAGACAGTGCAGGACTCCTTCGAGGTAGACCTGGCATGTCTGGGATTTTGTTGGGAGGAGGGGGAGAAAGAGGATGAGGAGGGAAAGGTACAGGAAGAGGAGGAGGGGGAGGAGGGAGAGAGAAGGAGGGAGGAGGAGCAAGGAAGGGGAGGAGGGGGAGGAGGAGAAGGAGGGGAAGGAAGGGGAAGCTAATCGGAAGATGACAAGGCTTTGAGTCACTGTGCCAGCAGCATCGGCCCTCAGTGCAGGGTACGTGGGTTGCAGGAGGCAGGAAGTGAGAGCAGCCCCCGCAGAGACTGGGCGCTGGTTCTCCGCGCGCAGTCTGGTTGAAGGGATCCTGGTGTGGTTTGGGGCTTGCTCATGAAGGGCTGTTCTTTCCCTCCCACTCAGGGCACAGCTTTACTTTGGACAAACACCTCCCCTGGCTTGACATGTGAGTCCCCGGAGCCCGGGCTTGGCAGGACAGCTGAGGTTTCCAGGGGCTGGTAATAACCCCCTTCCCCATCAAGTTTATCTCACCTGATGTTTCTGAAGACCCTCTGTGCCAGATGCTTTTCTAAGTGCGTCGCACCTTTTGTCTTACGTTTAAGGTTCGTTTAAGGTTCGCTGCTCCAAGGGTAGGCACTAGGATGGTGTGCTTGGGACAGGAGTCGGCAGGTGGAGATAAATGCATCATCTTTATTCCTGAACAAAGAGGATTTCCCAGAACATCGTCTCCTAGCCACGCGGACCCGCCAGTTCATCCCTAAGGTAGAAAGTTGCAGGCACCGAGGAGCAGGGCACAGCTGGTATGGGAAGGGGCTCAGTCCCCTTCTCGAAAACACACGGGTAGGGGAAGCTGATCCTCTTCTGGGGAGGGGGCAAGGGGGACAGAGAAATGTCCCCTCTACCAGGGACAGAGAAAGGAGTAATGTTTTCACAGGGAAGTTAGGAATGGTGCTTTGCTGACCAGGCGCAGACAGCATTGTTGGAAGGAGCGTGTCCCAGGATCAGAAGCAAAAGCAACTGGATGTGAGGTCTTTGTGTTGAACAAAACCTTCAGAGTGGTGAGGGTGTGAGGGCACCCCAGGAGGGGTGCCTGGGTGGCTCATTCAGATAAGTGTCTACCTTTAGCTCAGGTCATGATTTCAGGGTCCTGGGATCGAGCCCCAATCAGACTCCCTGCTCAGTAAGGAGTCTCCTTCTCCCTCCACCTCTTCCTCCTCATCCCCACTCATGCTCTCTCTCTCTCTCTAATAAATAAATAAATATATTAATTTTTAAAAAGTTCAGCACAATAATATGAGCTATTAAGAAGGTACAATGGACAAGACTTGGCTTGACTCTGGATATGGGGGTGATGGTGGCCCCCAATGTCATGGGGCTATTCACTGAGACGGGATTACAGAAGGGAAACAGACTGGGGAGAGAGATAAGGAGGTGGGTTTTGAGTAGTTAGAGCTACTTATCCCCATGGGCTACCATGGGAGAGACTGGCAGGAAATGTATACTTGAACCATCAGCATGTTCACTCAGCAAATACTTATCAAACACCTAATATGTGCCAAGAGCTTTCCTAGGTGCTGGGAATGACATGGGAGAAAGATAACTGACCAGATTCCCGGCTGCATGGAATTTAGAATCTAGTTGTAGGGACAGGCATACAGCAAAAATATGTATAAGTAAGTGTATATATATATATATATATACTTATATATGTGTGTGTGTGTGTGTGTGTGTGTACGTATATATGTAAATTTCTTATGAATTGACAAATTATTCTAGGAGTTATAAGAAAGCACCAGGAGGCTCAGGGAAGCAGGAGGCAGCCTTGCCAAGAGGAGGGGACCCAGACAGCGTATGCAAAGGCCCTGTGGTAGAGATTGGTTTCCCAAAGAGCCCAAAAAAGGCCAGAGTGGTGACAGTTGTGATCACCGATTAGAGACTCAGAGAATGAAGGTGAAGACTCAGGGAGAGTGGCTCATGTTTTGATTTTAGTCTAGGCCCCATGGAAGTCATCAACGAGTTTTTCGAAAGGAGGGAGGGGAGGCTCCAATAACTGCTCAGGTGAGAAATTCTTGCACTAGAGTGATGGCAGGGGAGGTAGAGAGTAGGAGAGATTTGAGAAGCTGTGGAGACAATAAGCCTTGGTGATTAACTGGGGTTAAGGAGAGGAGGGAAAAGGAAGAAAGCAGTGGGACTCCCATCGGAGCTGCTGGGGAGGGGTTGCTGTTCACTGAGAGAGGGTCCAGGTGGGAGCAGGTAGTATGAGGTGGTGTGACCTCCAAGGGAGGGACCAAAGAGCTGGCTGAAGATACGGGTCTGGCGTCGGGACCAGGTGTCAGGGCCATAGGTGTAAATCTGGGAAATGTTAGGTGACTGAAGATGTTTAAAGTCTTGGGCATGAGTTGAGAGAAACTTTAGAGTGATTGGGGAAGAAGGACCAGGACTCCCCCTGGAGACCCCAGGCTTGGAGAATAGATGGAGGGGGACCTACGGTAAAAGGGCTGAGTGGTAGTTGAAACAGTGAGTCGGGCAGGGTTGGGGGTGGTAAGATTATTTTAGTCTGAGGGCTTGGGGGCTGGCCCCAGAGAAAAGGATAGAATGCCTCCAAATATTTGATGACAGATCACATGTTAGAGTGTAGAGCTATTTTGTCTACACTTGTAATATGGTCTTTGGCTTCACATTGCTCAAATTCAGAGTTGGGCAGAAATGCGGAAAGGATCTAGAAAGTTCCATTCAAGGATCCACCTTTAGATGGACACTTGGAGGAGATGATCTTCCAACTCCGAATTCCATCACTCTAGTTTATGTCTGAAAAAGGCGGGGGGGAAGAATTGCTTTATTGCAACATTAACCTTTTAACAAAAACGCTGGTAACTAGATCCAGCCATCGGACGTGTATCTATTGAACTTCTGCAGCGTGCTGGGCACTGCGAGTCGGTGGTCCTCACGGGGTCTGGGGGCAGATACCTTCAGTTCCTTGTGGATGTGCCTGTTTCCCTCCTGCCCAGCAGGTGCAGGTAAGCACTCACTTCCACATCTTCCTGTTGGTCAGTGGAATGCAGCAACACGTCATTGTCTGAAAGAGAAAAGAATGAGTTTAACAACACATAAGGTCAAGAGGTGAAACAGATGTTCTCCAGCATCTAGAAAATTACTAGAAAGTGGCCTTCATCAGTAAAAGTTCCCTTTCATCAGAATAAAAAAAAAAATCCCGTATTTTTATGGCTGATATCACCCTCAGTGGTGAAGGTGTTTAGATGGGCTGTTTCAGGGCAGAGGAATTTACGGTACAGAGCTTCATTCATTGGCTCCCAGCAGCTCCTAGAAGCCAAGGAAGCAGCAGAAACAAAGGCAAGAAAGAGCATATGATGCAATTAATAGTTACGCAGTTTGCGCTTTCCTTGAATGGCCTCACTCGCATTCCTTTCCGTGTGTCTTGCCCCTCTTGAAAAGTGCCACACGTTCATGATTAGCCTTTGTTCATTCCTTCATCAAATATTTATAGAGGGCACTGGATGGACGGGGAGGGGAGGTGGTCCAGGGGAAGGGAGGGAAGCGGTGGAGAGTGTCAGCAGGTTCTTCAAGTACAAAGAACAGAAATTCAGGCAGCTGGATTGGTGAGGAGGGGAGGCTAGCAGAGGGAAGGGGAAACAGAACAGAAGGAAAAGGAGGGGGTGTAAAGAAGGGAGGAGGGATGGGCAGGAACGAGGGAAGTAGGGGGAGAGGGGACCAGCCAGGGGGACAGATTTTCAAAAGAACAACAGCTAAGGGGCACTTGAGATAAAACCACGACAACTGTTTTTGTTGTTGTTGAAAATTCAGATGCCAGACTGTCAGGGGTCAAATTCCAGAGGAGAGAGTCTGATTGGCTGGGTTTTTGCCCCATCCTTTGGGAAGGTGAGGCATGTTGATTGACACCATATAATGGGGGGGCAAGTGTTTCCTCCAAGGAAAATCAGTTGCAGGCTGGCGGGGGGGTTGAGTGGGGAGGACATGGTGAACTGGCCGGAAAGACAGGAGCTTCCGTGATCACGAATAATGTCAGCCTTTACCAGAGGACGCCGAGCCTCGCAGAGATGGTAGAGGATGCGCCCAGCAGACAGAGCAGCACATCCAAAACCATGAAGTGAGAAAGCACCAGAACTGAGGAAGGAGAAGCTTGTGGCCCTGTGGTCACAGGAGTTACTGGCGCAGGGAGGGGCAGGTCAGTAAGTGGTGGTTGGGTTTTCTCTGATTGCATTGAGATGCCACAAAAAGATCCTAAAAGAGACAGAACGGTGATCCGGTGTATATATTATTTTATTTTTAAAAGATTTTACTTGTTTACCTGACAGAATGAGAGAGACAGAGAGAGGGGGGAAGTCAGCATAGGGAATGGGAGAAGGAGAAGCAGTCTTCCCGCTGAGCAGGGAGCCTGATGTGGGGCTCCCTCCCAGGACCCTGGGATCATGACCTGAGCTTGAGCCTGAAGGAAGCAGATCCTTAACCAACTGAGGCAGCCAGGCGCCCCTGCTGTTCATTTTAAAAGATCACCAGGCTGGAGGGTAGAGAATACATGAGAGAGTAAGCTCTCCTTGTGGGCCCTTGGTCAGGGCAGGGTTGTGGCTGAGAATGGAGCATGGACCACAGAGGGGAGGAAAAGCTTCCTCAATCCTCTTAGGTTCATGAGTGGAGTGTGCAAATGAAACTTACAAAAGACAGATTAAGAGGAGAAAAGTATACAAATTTTATTTTTAATTTTACATATACAGAACTTTCACAGAAAATTAAAAACCCAAAGAAGTGGCCAGACTTGGGAGCTTATGTACCTTTTTTTCCCCCAAAGAGTTTATTTATTTATTTGACAGACCGAGATCACAAGTAGGCAGAGAGGCAGGCAGAGAGAGGAGGAAGCAGGCTCCCCACTTAGCAGAGAGCCTGATGAAGGCAGAGGCTGTAATCCATTGAGCCACCTAGGTGCCCCCTTATGTACCATTTTAACAAAAGGCATTAAATTGCAGAAAAGAGCCCAAAGAAGAGGGGGCTTCTGGGGGCAGCAAATTGTGGGAAGGTAAATATATGGGGGTACCAATGTCAGACAGGGTTATTTTGTAAGGTTTGCTTATGCAAACCTTACATCTCCATCTCCATCTCTGACAATAGTCCAGTCCCATCTCCATCTCTGACGATAGGGTTGCTCTTCCCATCCTGGTACAAGAGAAGCCTAGGATTCCTTCCCTAGGGGAGTGTCTGCCCTGTCTTCAGGCAGATGTTGGAGAACAGAGAGCCCTTCCTGTGGTCACTTTATCTCAATTGCCTTCAGTCCAAAATTATCCTTCTGCCAAGGTGGCATATTTTAGGATGGCACCTTCTGATCCCCTTCAAAGGCACGGGACCAAGATCAGGCAAGAGGTCGGGGTAGGGAGGCAGTTTTTACAGGAAAGACAAAAGGAATGTCACAGAGGCAGGAGACGCAGAGCATGAGTCAGTGTCAAGAAGAGCAAAAAGAGACCATGGAGCCAAGTCCAAAACCAAAGGTGTCCTTGAAAGTGGGGAGGAACCCACAGGTGCCAGGCACCCAAGTAGGCAGGACACAGACAAGGAAAGAGCAGGAGACACTGAGAGTCTAGATAAACAATCGGGTCCAAAGTCTGCAGTGGCTGAGACAAGCCAAGAGGAACTATGGGTCCACAGGAACAGCCCCAGGGGGGCAGGCTGTCTACCCTCTGGGTTTCTGACCTGATTTCTCATCAGGAAAAGAAGGAGATGCAAAAACCCACATGTTATGGAGGGTCTTGACTGAGGCAAGTACGGTCTACCTGAGTCTCCTTTAGTGAAGGGTAGGGTGATTCAGGGAAAGGGTTTGGGGTTAGACAATGAGGTTCACAACTAGGAACTTTTCCTATTGGTCCTGCTGATGTACCTGCACAAATGTATGAAGATTTGTTCATTATGATGTTATGTGTAACAGCCAGCAGAAGGACTATAAATAAGGAAACAGCCTAAAGGTACATCAGTAGACAACTGGTTAAACAACCACGGGCATCCATACAGTGGAATGTGTTGCAGCCATGAGAAAGAACGAGGTAGACCTATGTGTGCTGACATTGACTCACGTCCAAGATGCTTTGTTTGGAAAAAATCCAATTACAGAACAGGAGTACAGTGTGGTCTCTTCGTGTGGAAAAACAGGGCATACAAATTGGTGCTAATATGTGCATTGAGAATTTTTGGAAGGAAAGACAAAATGTTAACCGTGATTTTGTCTGAAGAGAAGGACTGGAAGTGGGAAGGTGCATTTCTACTTTCCTCCTATTTGATTTCTCTATGAGCATATCTCACATCTACAATGAAAATATTAATTAATAAAAACTGTTCTTAAAACCAGAGTAAAGATTTGTAACTCCTTAGAAATAGAAGAGATTGGAGTACCTGGGCAGCTCAGTTGTTAAGCATCTGCCTTCAGCTCAGGTCATGATCCTAGGGTCCTGGGATCAAGCCCCCCGTGGGGCTCCCCGCTCAGCAGGAAGCCTGCTTCTCCCTTTCTCTCTCCACCTGTTTGTGTTCCCTCTCTCATTGTCTCTCTCTGTCAAATAAATAAATGAAACTTAAAAAAAAAAGAAAAGAAAAGAAATAGTAGGGATCTTCCATAATGGATGGAGGACATTTGCCAAACACCTACAGCAAATATTACACTTAAATATTAAGTGAGGGGGCACCTGTGTGGCTCAGTCAGCTAAGAGTCTGCCTTCAGCTCTGATCATGATCTCAGGTCCTGCTCAGAAGGGAATCTGCTTCTCTTTCTCTCTCCCTCTGCCCCTCTCCACCACTCATTCTCTCTCTCTCTCTCTCTCTCTCTCAAATAAATAAATAAAATCTTTTTTAAAAAAAAGATTAAATGAGAAACCTTCCTTTAATATCAGGTGTGAGACAGCAGTGCCCACTGTCTGCACTTCCATTCAACCATATGAAGGCTTCGTGTCCTAACCTATTCATTAAGAACAGAAAAATCAATAAATGGTGTAAGGTGGAAAAGAAAAAAACAAAACTGTCATAGGTCACAGATAATGTGATCATCTGCACAAAATTCAAGAGAATGTTTGAACTAATAACATTTTTTGGAACTGAATATTTATCATGGCTGTTGAATTTCAGGTTAATACTTAAAAGGCAAGTGTATTCTTATATATGGGCAATGGTACAATTTTTAAACAACCATTTATAAGAGGAAGAAAAACTGTACAACCAAGGAATAAATATAACAAAATATGTGTATAATTTCTGTAGAGAAAATTGTAGAATGACAATTATAAAACTTGTAAATTATACAATGTCTAAAATTGTTTAAAGTGTAGGTATTGAAACATACTGAAAAGAAGTAGAGCTATATACCATCTTCATGGATAGGGATACTCAATACCTCATAAAGATGTCAGCACACTCCATATTAATATATCAATTCAATGCAACACCAATCAAAGCCCCAAAAGGAAATTTGAGGAGTTTACAAAATTATCTTGGAATTTAGATAGAAAAGCAAACAAATTAAGACAAATAGTTAAGGGTATTTTGAAGAAAGAGGGCAAGGTGAGAGGTTGTGGGCCTTGCCTTTCTAAAAATTTAGAAAAATTCTGAAATCTAAATAAAAATCTAAACAAATATTTCTAAACAAATAAAAGCTTATAAGCTTACAGGAATTGAGACATGTGGTAATGCCATAGAGGTAGACAAACATACTAAAGGAACTGAGCCCAAAATTAAACCCACAGATGGATGGGTATTATTTATATGGTAGAGGTGGCACTGTTGTGACAGGGTTTGAAACGTGCTCCTCCCAAATATGGCACCTTGGCATATTGAATAATCTAAATGGGAGGAATTTGAGCAATGGCAGCTATGGGAAAGACTCTTTGACTTAGCCCTGAAGTAGACCCTCATGGGACAGGTGCCCTTTCTGTACCCAGAGAAAAGGAGCATCCTTATCTCCAAAGATGGTGGATGCCAAGAGAAATCTGAATGAATAAACCTTGCTAAGGTTCCCCCAGTTTACTCTTCTTGGCTCATACACCACTGTCCTTGCACGATTTCCCATGACTTTCCACTCTTCCTCAAACCCA